GGGGTTCTCTGCCTGGGACTGGAGGGCGTGTGAGCTCTGTGAGGGGGTTCTCTGCCTGGGCATTGGGGCAGGAAGACTTGTGAGCGCTGGGAGGGGTCTCTGCCTGGATGTTGGGACAGGAGAGCACCTGAGTGCTGGGAGGGATCTCTCTGCCTGGGACTGGATGGCACCTGAGCGCTAGGAGGGGTCTAGCTGGGCAGGAGGGCACCTGAGCACTGGGGGCACTGTGCTGACCACTCACCCGTGTGTCCCATGAGCCACCCTGGTCCTCGATCCCATGCAGACCCCTCTAATGTGAAGGCAGCGTAAAATGTGATTTAATGATGTAATGAGCAGACACTTGCCCCCCAACCAGAGAATGCTGTCCCCTCCCCTTTAGAGTTTTGGGGTTCTGAAGACAGGCCTGGGGCTGAGCTGAGGCCCCGCAGGCCAGTGAGTCGGCCTCCCCGTCATGCCGTGCACACTCTTGTCTTGCAGGGGACGAGCTGACCAAGATGGAGGATGAAGACGAGCAGGGCTGGTGCAAGGGACGCTTGGACAATGGCCAGGTCGGTCTGTACCCAGCAAACTACGTCGAGGCCATCCAGTGACCAGGCCGGTGGGCAGGCTGCTGGGGGCCGAGACGCGGTCCCTGGAACCCGCTGAGCGAGAGGCCCTGGGCAGCCCTGCCTCTGGCACCCCCAGCTGGCCGCGTGGGGTGCCCACTCCTCGTCGTGCAGAAGATGATGTCTCCTGGCTTCCGGTTTCCCTGAAGGCAGGAGAGCTGTCATTTCACTGGGATAACGCACGGAGAGGCCCAAGTAGGGAACCCAGGCGGGCCCCCCGTCTACCATTGGCTGGGCATAACGTGGATTTCCATGTGTCCTGCCTTGTCGGTCCTCCTGTCCCCAAGCCACCGAGTCCCGCTCACCGATCCTCTACTGGTTTCCGCCGCCTCCGACGTGAACAAACAGGCCCACATGCACTTCCTGCATGAAGATTGGAGCATTGTAATTTAAAGGCTTTGGACAGTTAAGCTTTTCATATTCCCACCCTTCCATTCACGTCTTCTTAAATTATGGCACAGATTGATGTACCAGTCTTGATGAGCTGTCTCTCTCTGCATCGTGTGCGTGTGGGAACCAGGTGGCATATGACGGGCTGCTTGGTGGCGCTCCCCAGGCCCCGAAGTGCCCAGGGTGGGGCTGGCAGAGTCCGGCTTCCAAACCCATTGTCATGTTACTATTTTTGTCAATAAACAGTTTTATCAGTGATTGAAAGGTTATCAGGAAGAAGCCTGACTTCCCCCCCCCCCCCCAGCCAGCGCATCTGTCCAATGGATGACAATTTCGCCTAGCCAGTCATGTCTGGGTCGATGTATATCTGTATATATTATTTGATACTCAGAGATTCTAAAGACTTTATACTGTGTTATTGAGAGGGACTGGCTTTTGAGAGTGGGTTTGAATAGCTGCTCGAAGCCTGCCACCCTGGACATGGCTTGGGCTGGCGGATGAAGCCGGCTGTGCTGGGGCCGCGTCTGCGCCGGCCAGCTGGGGGCCCTGCAGCAGCTTAGCCCTTCCCGTAGCAGACACTGTAAGACCCGCAGGCTTGGCAGAAGCTGCAGAGCCCACAGTCAATGTATTTGTTGTGGAGCAAAGGCAGGGTCCCCCCCGATGCCCTCAGTCCCAAGCAGCGTACACACAGGAGGCTCTGCCCTGGGCAGGGACTGTTCTGGGTCCACAGCCCTGGGGACAGCCCTGCCAACGTCACAACATCCACACCTTGCTTGGAAAGTGAATGTGTGCGTGCACTTGTCACGAGACCTTACCAGCGGAAATCCTCACTCCTATGCTACAGATTTACCAAAAATTTTCAAGCCTCTTGAAAGTTTAAGGCATTTCTTTAAATGTTTAGTATTTTAGAAAAATCAATAAAATAGTTGATCAAGAGCTTGGTGGTCTCTGTCCACAAATACCTTCGTCCTCATGCCAGCGGTGATCTGATGGCCTTGTGTATCCCCAGTTGGGCCTGGGCGAGGTCAGGGGACCATGGTCCTGTCCCACCTCCCTACAGAGCCAGAGTGTGAGAAATCAAAGCATCTGTCCCTCTTGGGGTTCGCCTATCCCCGAAACCTGCCTTTGCACAGCCTGGGGTCTCCTCAGGTGGGCATCAGGCTGGGACCCCCTGCTCTGACCCGGCCGAGCAGCAGGACAGGACCACACACTGCCTTCCTGTCTGCCATAGTCCACTTTCTCAGCAGTGCCATGCAGCCCTGAGGGTGGCCTGTCCTCCGCAGCCCCCTCCCCTCCACACAGGCTCAAGCCACAATTCCTTGGGAACCTTCTGACTTCAAGGAGCTGAATTGGGGCCACACTCTCATGTCACCAACCGTGGGAAGGAACACGTGGCGCACAGCTCCGTCGACACGGGCCCTCGCAGGCAGTGAAGCGAGGCGGGGACAGCACCAGTGCTGGGTCTGGTAGTCCCGCTTGCCTGGCTTCATCTGAGCCTGTCAGGGTGGGAGGGGAGCTTGCAAAAGTGCCCTAGTGGACCCACCCCCTTCATTGCACATGGGGGAAACTGAGGCCAGATGACCCGACCACAGTCACAGAGCTGCTGCTGGGGGCCCTGCCCGGCAGGGACGTCCTGGTGCCTGTCCCTCGCCCGTGATGGCCATGCATCTGTAGTGAACACATCCACAGTTTTCACTGCATCAGTGAGCCTGCGTCTCGGGATGACCAGTACCCCCGACCATCTAGAGGTGTCCCTGCCCCAACCCCGCGGCACCTTCCTGTGGCATCAAAGCCTCTGACAATCCCTGACAGGAACGGACGGAGCACAGCCCTCCTTGTGTTTGCCCTTGGTCCTAGTGCAGAGCTTAGCATGGGCTCCTCTGCATGTTACAATTCTCTGTGACCATGTGAAGCTTCACTGCAGGTGAGTAAAGAAACACAGGGAAGCCTATGCTTACCTGGGGTCCTGGGTCACCCGCCCTGGTCCCCGCAGTCAGGGGAGACACTGGCTCCAGTGCTGCCCCCCAGTGGACAGAGCGTCCATGCAGATGGAAGCTGGCCAAGTGGCTCCTAGGCTCATCCCCAGCCGCGTACAGAGTTGGAGGAGCCAGGCTGGCCTGAGGCCCGGTTACAGATCTGTCTTGGAGGGGGTGCAATGACATTGCTCCTTAGAGGCGAGGGTGGAAGAACTTTGTCTCACACACTTTGGGCATATTGTCAGGAGGCCAGTTCTTGGAAAAAAACATCATGCTGGAAAAGGTGCAGGGTCAGAGAAAGAGAGGAAGACCCCCAACAAGTCACACAGCGGCTGTAACAGTGGCCTGGAGCCTGGCAGAGACCATGGGGACAGCTCAGGAGAGGCCAGGGCCCACACCAGCCATTCAGGCACCGACTTGGGCTTTCTCATCCACTGCTTCCACCAGCCCTGGGAACAGAGTGTTTGGGGTCCACACGGGGTCCTGGACTGGTACCTTCCCTGCAGTGGGTCCTATAAACCTCATTACAGTGGTGAAGGCCACCCAACAAGCAAGACTGAAGCCCAGGGGTGTAGGGAGCGGAGTCATGTGACCTCAGAGCCTTTTGCCTTCGGGACAACTGACCACACACAGACTGAGCCACTCTGGACACTGCAGTTTCCCCTCCTTTGGGGGTAAAGCCAAGGTCTATCTGAGTCCTCACTGGGTGAAAAAGGGCGTGGTGGTGGTGGTCCTTTCTGGAAGCTCTGGTGGAGGAGCTGTTCCTTTGTTGGCAGAGTTCAGGGCATTGGGAGTTCGCTGGCTGTCGCTGAGGGCAGCGCGACCACCACACTCATTGACTTTCTCAAAGCCTGTCACAAGAAGTCCCTGTGTTGACGCTCTTGTGTACCTCATTTTTCTCATCTGTGAAGTGGATGTGTTATCACTGGCTCTGAAGGGGTGTTGGTGAACTTTTGTGAAAATCTGACGTTTAGAGAATGGGACCTAGCTCAGGCTGCTGTCATAACTGATGCATAGCTGACCCTCCAGCAAGTTTTCAGAGACAGTACATCACATAGGAATTTCCTAATTAAGAAAATCTGCTCTCAGGGACCTCGCCAGAGTGCTAAAGAGCAATGATGTCAGTCTAGAGACTAAGGTGTGCCTGATCCAGGCCATGGCCTTTGGAACTACATGCTGCACATCAGAGAGCTGGATAATGACTAAGGATGATAGAAGAGGAATCTTAGCCTTTGAGTTGTGATGCTTGAGAAGAGTATTTAATATACCATGGACTGTGAGAACAAACAGGTTTGTCCTGTAGAGGATGAAACAAGCTGCTCCTTAGAGGCAAGGATCTTGAAGCTTCATCTCACATACTTTGGGCATGTTGCCAGCAAGGACCAGTCCTTGGAGGAGGACATCATGCTCAGAAGGGTGGAGGGACAGTGCAGGAGAGGAAGTCTCCAGAAGAGATAGTTTGACACAGTAACTGGGGTAATGAGGGAAGATGTGTCAGCGAAAGTGAGATTGGCTCAGGATAGGGTAGGGTTTAGAGCTGTTGTAGGGTCCCTATGAGTCACAGATGATTCAATGGCACATAACAACCACAAACCACACAAGAGGAGATTGCCTGTCTTTCTCCCGTGGAGCAGGTGGTGGATTCAAAGCATGTATCTGAATTGGCAGCACAATCTCTTAGCACTAAGTCACCAGAACTATAAAGGACAGCTAGATGGCCAATGACTGGAAGAGATCCATATGTATCCCCATTCCCATCAGTATGGGAGTCCTCGAACAAGTCACTAATATCAAAATCTTGCTGAAGATTATCCAGAACCAACTAGAATAGTACATTGGCAGAGAAATTCCAGAAATACAAACTGGGTTTAGAAGAGGCCATGGCACATGACTTGCCAATGTCAGATGGATCTTGGCTGAAAACAGAGTACTAGAAGTATGTCTATTTGTGCCTTATTGTCTCTGCAAAGGTAGAGTGTGACTGTGCAAAGGTTGACTGTGGTCATAACAAATTGTGGCTAACCTTCAGAAGAATGAGAATCCCAGAACACTTGACTGAAACCTATACCAGGAAACTGTCATATGATCAGAGCAAGGGAACACAGCATGGTTCAAACTCAAGAAAGGAATGTGTCAGGGATGTATTATTTTTTTTCTCTCCATACCTTTTCAATCTATATACAGAACAGATCATTCAGGAAGTTGGATTTTATGAAGAAGAATATGGCATCAGGATTGGAGGAAGACTCATCAACGACAGCCTGTGTTATGCAGATAATACAACCCTAACTCTCAGAATCTGAGGAGGTTTTGAAGTGCTGCAGAAGGTCAAGGACTTCCGTTTTCAGTATGGATTGCATTTTAACATCATGAAAACAAATATTTTCACCACTGGGCCAATTGGGAGCATCACGATAGATTGAGAAGAGATTCAGATTATTAACAGTTTCATCTTGCTCAGATCCACAGTCAACACTCATGGCACCAGCAGTCAGGAATTCAGAAGATGAGCTGCTTTAGGAAAGTGTGGGGTCAGGGACCTCTCCAGAGGGCTGAAGAGCAACCAACCACATCAGCCGAGAGAACCAGGTGTGCCACATCCAAACCAAGGTCTTCTCAATTACTTGCTATGCATCTGAGAGCTGGACAATGGCTAAAGATGACA